ATCAATGAATTCAATCAAATCAGTTGTTTTTGCGTGGTTCAAGGAAACTGAAAGGAAAACATCTTACAATAGTGGAAGAATTTTTTTAAACTTTCGTGGTAATTGCTTAACAGTTCTAGTCAAGTTTTTTTCCGGCTTGGAGTCAATGTCTCATTTTTTTCTGAAATGAAAAATTTCGTGAACGGCTGAACGTGGATCAAGTATAGCAAAACGTACTACATTCAAACTTGCAATTTGCTCTGGAGTTATCTAATGTAGAAAAAAAAAATCTCTAAGTTCGCCTAAGAAGAATAAAGCGACAACTTAAAAAGCAACTATAAAAAATGTTTCCTTGAATGTGGAAGATGTTCCAAAGAACAGGGTGGAGAGGCCAGGAAACAAGTTCTGGGTTGTTCTGATAATGGAAAACTAATAATAAATAAATATCGAAAAGGCTAGTCAGGCATGATTTTTATTTATTTTATGAGAATGACTAAAAATAAACTTAATTTGGAGTTTCCAGTATGATAAACAAAGATTATTTTCGCAAATTCTTTTAGAGAGAGAGAGAGAGAGAGAGAGAATAAAGCTTGTAGAAAAAGAACCTTTTTTTATCTACTGGCATCATTGTGTCTACTGAAAAAAGAAAAGAAAGAGAAGCCTAGGATAAAAGAGACTCACATACAGTGTAACCCGGATATAAGAGAGTTGTCGGGACCGGAGAAGAAGTCTCTTATATCCGGGTTTGGTCTATTTTATATACATTAACACAGGCTCTAATTTGGGACCAGAGAAAATCTCTCTTATATCCGGGTTACACTGTATATCACTTGTTGCCAAGGAAAGCAGGTGGAGGATGAATATGGATGGGAGTCTTATTTGGAGTTTATGATGAAAATTACAGGTTGCTAAGCCGAATAATTAGACGAGTTGTGATTACATTAACTTAGATTGTCCCCCCACCCCAAATAAAAATAAATACACGGAAATAGTTTAAAAATTTTAATTGGAGTGCACTGATAAAACATCAAATACATTTCATTTCATGTATTTTCTGGTTTTTGTTCAACGATGACGCGTCGCCATTACAAGGGAGATAACTCCAGTTATATCCCTTACACTGGCAAAATTGAAACAATGAAAATTACAATTAAAGAAATGACTGAAATAAAACTCCCTTCAGTTATTAAAAATGTTAAGTAACTAATAACGACAAGAACAGACGGTTGGTAGTATTTTAAAAGGTTTATTTTCTCTACTTTTTTCTTTTTTAGATGAGGGAGTTGCAAAATATATAACATGAGTATGTATTTCGCATACAAAGCAGACCTAAGTATTTCAACAATAGGTACTACCACAAAATTACTAAAAAAAACAAAACATAAAAAAAACACATTTCAAATAATTTAGTTAAAGTTAGGTCTTACTTGAAAGAGCTGTAAAAAAAAAAAAAAAAAATCATGTATTCAAATAAAGATTTTAGACATTTTTAAGACATTGACAGATCAAACCTTGATCTTAGGCAAAAAAAGAAAAAAGAAAAAATGCAAAACAAATAATCTCTGAAAAATTCATTGTTTTAGAGATTTGTTTCAAAGTAAATTAGTGAATTTAAGGATAATTAATAGAATTTTGTAAACATAATGCTTACTTTTTGCTTGAAACATAGTTAAAATAACATTATTCACAGTAGCCTGTGAGCTGTCAACAGTAGTTGCTTCCTGTCACCCATGACTTTTAAAAAGTGTACAAAGATTTAGATAAATATGAAGAACCAACACCAGAACAAGCAAGAAATTGGTTTTGTTTCATTTTATTGGTGTTATTTAAAAAAAAAATAAAATAAAATACATAATAAATATAAACTTTTTATTCTATACTTTTATGAAACTTAGAATAATTTTATTTTTTTATAAATTAGAAGTATAAAAAGAAATTAATTAAAAACTACTTACTTTTGAATTTAATTCAGTTTTTAATTGATTATTTTCTTACCTACTTAATGTCATAAAATATTTAATTGCACATTGATGTTTTTCTCATTATTCTGATTTTAAAACTTATTAAAGGAAATGCTACAAAAAAAAAAAAAAAAAATAAAAAGGACAAAATTGATAAAACCTTATTGAATTAATACTGTTAAGTGTTAATTGACTACAGTCAGAGAATTTCATTTTTTGAACTTCTGTACAATAAATAAATATTTGTAAAAATGAAAAAAATGTTTTTAAATGTTCACTCAAAAATGGCATTTAACTTTAAATTTTTTGATTTTTCAAATATATCTTTAATAAACAACAGCAATGGAATGAATTTCAAAATTGTACAAAAAGTTTACAATTAAAAAAAAAAAAAATAGTGTTGTTTTTTTTCCCCATTGTCCAGTCTGAAAGAAAATGATGTTTTATTTTTGATGCAAGCATCAACTCTCAACAAAAATTATTTATTGAATTATTTTTGGGGAGAAATTTTCAGTATGTTCACACTTGGTATTACAAAATTCTTTTACTGAAAAAACAAAAAAAAAAAAAAAAAAAAAAAAAAAAAACTTTTCAAAAATTTTCTTTTTGTAAAAGTATTTTACAAACAATCCCCAAGTTTTAAAGTTCAGACAATATACTGAAAAGTTGGGGGTGAAATCAATGCACAAAAAATAGTTCCACAAAGATTTCTTATAAAATACCCAATTCACACAAAATTCATTAATTAATGAATAATTGCTTAAGATTCCCAAATCATTTAAATCAGATAATTAGCTGATTTTCACTAAATTTTGGAAAACAGTGGGAAGCATATTTTGTACTCATTTTTGAAAAAATGGATGCCAATAAACAGCCAAGTTTTCTGTAGAGACACAATGACCAATGTTTTCCTAAAAATTCAAGTATTGTCTGAAACCTTGTGACAAATGGACTGAACAATGGTTTGTCAAAGAAACTCTGGAGTTGAGGCTCTTGAATATGACATCAGTCAGTTAACAAATTTTATATTTGTATTAATCCTCTCTCATATATATATATATCATAAAATATTATGACATTAAATAACCCAACAAGAGCAAGGGTTGGTATTTCATAAAATCCACCAATCAAATTTTCTAACAGGGTGACTGCAAACCTCCTTGCTGTAGTTTTACTAAATTAAGCTATACTGAGGTACTGTTTATTAAACTTTGGATAACGATTAAATGTACTAATTGGAATAAACGTTTCCCCCCTTTTTCTATGCTCTGGTCTTCTTGATATCCAAGATGTTAGTAATAGGAATTGATAGATAATGAATTAAATGTGTGGAAAAAGGTTTGTAAGAAAGTGATGTTTTATGTATGATTCTATTGAAAGTGAACCCTTAATTTTTAGCACCTTCTAGAAAACCAAATAATTGATTTGAAGAGATGATGCTTCTAATTAGACTGATTGAAGGCAGCCATTTATGAAAAGCATTCCCCATAAGTTAAAATAAAGGGTACAATATTGGATTGCATGTTTCTCTTGTGACCAGGCAAAAATTGTTACAGTTCAGAAGGCAAATTTTCACTCATCTGCTATATTCAGCAGATATAGTCCTTTTTGATTACCATGTATAAGTAATTGAATGATAAAATGGAAATAATTTCCTATGTTAGTTGCTTAAAAGGATTTATTGTTTTATCAATGGAGTCTGAAATATAAGTGTGATTTGAGAGAGAAATATAACTAATACTGGTTACAATTTCATATAGAGAAATGCTGAACACAGTGATGATTGGTTTTCAAATTAAATCTTAATGTCCAATTAACTCAATGATAATTGTAATTTCCTTATAGCATTTGTTGATCAAGTAACCAGTACTGCTATTAATTGAAATTTATAAAATCTTTCTATTAAAACAATTTTTTGGGAAAAAAGGCTTCTCAAATCTACTGTTGTCACTCTTCAGTATTGATTGGGGGGGGGGGGGGTCATTTTTAACCATTTGCTTAAAGTAGTGGTTTTTTATCATTTTTGTTTTTAATGTTTGTTTTTAAATATCCCATATTGTAATAGTAATCATTCTGTGAGGAAAAAAAAAAAAAAAACAATATCGTATGATCTTGGATGCAAATTTACCATGGAAGATTTCAAAATTATGGCACTTTCAATACATTTTTGCCATAATAAATTATTTACATTGTTTGGACTATTGTCCTCATCTTTAATGTCAACGTTTTGGCTGTTGTATGCTCCAGCCTTCTTCAGGTGATATACATTCAAAATTCCAATGTAGATCACCTGAAGAAGGCTAGTGCTTAAAATGGCCAAAACACTGTGAATATAACAAAGATGAGGACAGTAGTTTGAACAATGTAAAAAGTGTAGTTACAATACCTCATCTCAGAAATATAGACTTAATAAATTACTTTCTCTTAAATAAAACTACCTTCTTTACAATGTATTCCAGTCTTTAGAGAATTTTATGGAAAAAAAAAAAACCCAGTGCTGTTCTTTACTAAAAATGTGTAAAATTTGTCAGAAAGAAAAAGGAAATGGTAAATACATTCTTCAATAATGTTAATATAGAAAATAATCATATTTTTTGCTAAATATACATTTTGTCCAGATCAATAGATGACAGGAATACTTGAAAAAAAGGGATTAAGAGTATCAAATAATCTGGGAGTGTCTTTCAGTTTACAAAAAATTAATAAAGCCAGCAGGGTATCAAATAAAAGGAGGGAATTCTTTTGATTTTCAATAATTAAGTATATGTTGGCAGGGAGGGCTCAAAATATACAACTAATATACAATCAATAAACATTCATTGTTTGCTGCTAAGGAATTTTGATAAATGGCAGTTTTTCAAAATTTTAATAAACATACCCCCATTTATTCAAGAAACAAGTACATTAATAACAATTGCAGAATAGATACTCTATAATATTGCTATGAAATAATAAATCCCATAAGTAAATAAAAATGAAAGAAACAGAAAATGCAGAATGGCTTTATTGTTAAACGTGTACAGATTCTTAAGTCTACGAACATTCTATGTGATACAGTGGTCAAGCATGGGCGGCTTTTGCTTCAGTGTCTTTTTTGTACAGAGCCAACATCTTCTTTATCTGCCCAATGGCCAACCCAGGGTTCAAGTGCTGTTCAGGGGGAAAAAAGAAAAGAAATGGTTATAAGTTATTTTCAATTATTATTGAAGATTTTTTTTTTTAAATCATTTCATTCCAAGCAAGGCAATAAAGTTAAGAAGCATGGGGTTATTGAGGATGAAAGTCAATAGAATGAAGAAAATTGAGAAAATGTTAGTGAAGAGAAAGAGCAATAAGAACAACAGGAGTCAAGGAGAGAGATAGAGAGATGACAATGATTGAATTTGCATTTAAATGTTTGTAGATTGTAGCTGACAGGAAAGTAAGAAGCTGGAAAAAGAGTTCCATAGGTGAGAATTTATGAAGTTGAGGTACCAAAAAGGAAAGCTCATCAGAACAAATGTCACAAAAATATTTATAGAAAAGGCGCAGGGAATCTACATTATGGTGGTGGGAAAATGATTGAAGCCAAGATGCCAGGTTGGGACTAATAATATTACTGCAAATTCTTCTTTTGATTTTGTCAAGAATCTCTAGATATATAGCAGAAGCACCCGACCAGATTTGGCAGCAATATTCAAAGCATGGATGAATGGTTGATCTCTAAATGTGTAAGATAGATTCTTGTGAGAAAAATTATCCAGCCTGACACAGTGAATCAATATTTTTTAGCAGCTGACTTACAATTTGAAAATAACACATTTGATGGCATATAAGATTTCCACCTCACCTCCATTTACATTTAATATTTACAATGTTAAGGTAGATACAAATATTGGTAGTCTATATCACCAGCATAAACAGTAATCTGTGAGATTACCTCAAGTTCTCAAGATACAGGAGAGGTTTTTAGCTATTTTTGCAAAGAAAATATATGTGTATGTCTAATATGCCATCAAATATGGTAAAAAGTATTTCAAAATGGTAATAAGAATTTTGTGGAAATGCTAATGGCAACTTTCTTAATTGTTCATGTTCTTAATTTAGTAATTGTAATTTGAAACCAGGATGTGCAGCTAGCAGAGCAATAATTGACACAATTGGAATTGTTAAGTTGAGCTCACATTCCGACCTAGTCTGTTGCATTCACTTTCACACTAATGCCCTTGCAAAAAGCAACAATCCATTTAATTCTCTCTGTAGCCCTGGGTTAAATAGCAACACAGATTGGGTTCTCCAGTCTAGGAGAAGGAGAACTCTGGATTCAAAGCCCTGGAAAATGCAATGAAGGGACTGCTATTTTTTTCCAAGAAGTTATAGTAATTCAGAGAGCACTATGATCACCTGCATCCTGAGAGGACATGGCATTAAAAAAAAAAATCTTTAAATAGTTGGTAGCTATTTATGTAATCTGTAATGTAATGGTAGGATTTAGCAAAGAAAAAAAACATTTAAACTTGCATTCAGTGTAATATTTATATTCTTGGGGTTTCAGCATAAATGTTTCGAAAATTTGAACAGCACACATAGGACAAATTAAGCAGATATTTTTGATACAATGTTCTATCAAAGAGTATATGAATTTACAAGGAGATACCTTTGAAGAAAATAGTAGAAAATTAGTGTTGAGTGAAATATTTTTTAAGATCATGGTAAAGTTAAAAAAACCCCAAAAACAACACTTCTGGAGTGTAATGCAGTGGGATAAAAAAATGTAACTAATCACATTTGTACAGAATGCACCAAGTAATTGAGAACAAATTATAAAGAAAAACTATACAATTTCTCGACATCCCTGACATATAGGGAATTCAAATCAGGAGAACTGTAAAACATGTGGAGTAACATTACTAAAACGTCTTTGTCAGCTACACCTGGATCACACAGGTCATGTGAAAAATGTACAGCCACTTCCTCATACCAGAGCTTGACTGCTATGTTCAATACCTCAATGTAGTCAGTGACACTGACACTGAAGCCATGCAGGAAGAAGTGAGAAAGCAGGACATTATCCTTATTGCTCACAACCCCCCAGACAATGTGAACTTTGGGTGCATTATTGTAGTTGTCATTATTGTTCCCACTATAATCTATTAGTACCCATCATCTCACTCTTGGGATGAGGGCATTAATGGGTTATGGGTGGAAAAAAAAAAATTAAAATAGGAATTTAAGGTGAGCATTAATGGTATCAAGAAACTTGGAATCTGAGTTGTTGTGGTTAATAGCTAATACTTTGAGTATGGTGTCTCTCTTCATTTCTTGTAGCAAATTCAAAGGGGATATATTAATGTTCCCAATACATCTGAAATAGAAATGAGAAATTTGATGCAGGTTTGTGAGGTTCTCTTCCATTTATGGCCTGGATTTAAAGATGTATTCCCCAAATGCCCAGCAGACCCTGTGGAGGCAAAGAGATATGCAAAAAAATGAAAAAAGAAATGTGCTTTAGAAATTCACCTTGGGGCATGTCTTTGTACAATTCATGATTGTGTGGCATCTGTACACAGAGAATTTATCTTCCATCATGCTGAGTCTCTCTACTGTAAAATCATCACGAGAGTCGATCATCCACCTGCCAGCAGAAAAAAAATAGAATTAAAATTATGACATTCAAGAAACAAAAATGGAAACTGTAAAAGACACATACTCAACATTATCCAACACTTGAGTTTTGTTATTTGGCAACAGTGAAAAACACTATTTTAAAACTACACTAGGTAAAGAGATGTTTACAGTATAAAAAGAGGAAACAATTATATTTCATATGAGAAATACTGTCTCTCTCTCTCTCTCTATATATATATATATATATATATACACACACACACACACACACACTAGCAGGCCTCACCCACTTGCTATCGCTTCACAAAGCATGATATATTCACTACTTGAAATCTTTGAAACAAAAATTTTAAATGAACATTCAATTCATAAAAGTTAAGGAAAGTTTTATAAATAAATTACAACTTGTTGAAGGCCAAGTAAAATGCAAATTTCAAGCACTTTTCTGCACTACAGTGATTTTACAAGTGTAGCTTAGATGTGACACAAGGTTGAAAGCATGGGCACCCAGTAAGGATTGAACTCACTACCCAGTCGTAATTGTTCTAGCAAGACAAGCTTGCTAACCATTACACTGCCTTGAGATGCCCAGGTGATTTTCCAGGTGTAGCTTAGATGCGACACATCTAGTGTGTAAATTACTATAAAGTATACCTTGGGCTTTTAAATCTCAGAATTTGTGGGAGAATTGAGCTCCAATTTTGCATTTATTCATATAGATTCCATAATATAGGCTTTATTTAATTAGCTATTATGTTTCTTCAAGTGTTGAATGTATAACTAATTCTAATTTCTATTTTCCCAACTTTACACTATATTAATTTTGTCTTATAAATTGTCCCATTTTGTCACCCATGAAATAAAAATAATTCTTTGTACAGAAAATAAGGATCTATATACATCAAACTCTCATTAAATTAAGTAGCAGCAGAAGAATTATCGTTGTACTTTTAAAAGGTAAGCTTAAACATTGATTCAATACTTAAATGCAGCAATCAATTTTGAGTACTTCTGCAGTTTATTGATGCCTATCGCATCTACTCCTCCTTAGCTATTGTGATGATGGCCAATACAAGAGTCCTCCACAGGAGCTAGCTTAAATGCCACTCGATAGGGTGACTTAAGCCAGCTCCTTTGGAGGACTCTTGTTAGGCCTACATATTTTCTTATTACTATATACATTATATTTGGTTGGTGCATATATTTCAGTTGATATTCCTGCATAAAAAATGAAATTAATGTCAACTGGACTAGAGAATGAGAAACCTAATAAAAATGTGCCTTACCATTAGGTTGTGGGAAGATATCACAGCAAAGCAAAGCTTGCTGTGGCCTGACAGTAAGCTTATGAGTGGTTTCCTTGGTTTGGAAAGAATACTGGTAGGAGATATTTAGTAGGATTTTTCAAGTAGGTTGACATTAATTTCATCATTTCAGGGAGAAAAAAAAAAGCAGAGATATCTACTAAAACATTTATGCCCATTAAATATAACATATATTGTAATAAGAAATAATCACAATGTAATTAATGGATTTTTTAATCCATTAATTGCTTATATATATATATATATATATACACACACACGCACACACACACACACACGCACACTCTCTCACACAGAAAAGTTGTTAATCTAAACAACATCCTACAAAAATGTCCAAATGACCAAACATCAGAAGTTTTGGGGAAAAGGATATCTTGATTTAGCAACCTCTCATTTACTCACTCACAGACAAATAGATAGATAGATGGATGGAAAATAAAACTGCAATACTTTGAACATGGGTTCAAATTTGCTCATCAGACTCCATATTAACACCTTGTATATCCTCTTTGAGTGTTAACATAGGCCTGCATACATTAATGCAGATGGTGAATACCATTCCATGATGCATTATTTAATGCATCTTGCACCTGCTGATGCAATACATCAAGAACTGCATGTTGGTTAGCAGAATGAATCAAGTATCATCCTCTCTGTGTTTAACTGTGGGCAAGTCTGGGGATTATGCCAGTTGGAAAACTTGTTGAACCTCTTGGAAAGTATTTTTGAGTAGCACAGGCATTACCTTGCCAGAAAAGTATAACCATTCTATTGTAGAAATGATGGCAGAATGCTAAAGATAATAGTGAGAATAGCCGTTTCCATACAGGAAACATTTGGAATTCATTGACTGAACAGTTAGCATTACATAAGTTTGAAATTAACAAAATCTTTCTCTTAAAAAAAAATTTTTTTTTTTTTTTTTAAAAGGAAAATACGCTTCTTAAGTCCACTATTATCACTAACACAGATTGAAGTTTCCTTCCTAATGTTTTGTTTAATGTTGTGTGGAAAGACATCATCTGATTATATCATTATTTTACCTTTTAGTCACATATGCTATCCATTTTCATTGATGGTGTTGTTGGAAGTCCTCAAGTGATGTGATTTTTGTTATTTGGTAAAATTCCTTATTTTTAATTCTGTATTCCAGTCTATAAGATCTGATGAAGGATTGTCTTTAAGATTTATAGGATTTGCTTGAAGCCACTTTTAATGATTGATCTGAGAAAAGTTGTATATAGCTAATAATTTAGTTAAAAAAAATTTGGATGCCATGCATGATATCCACATGTGACTCTAGATCTGACAAGTCTATTTAAGAACATAACTCAGTTTTTGGGTTAATATTTTGGTTTCATAGTATCTTGCACAGCCTGGTACTGTTCAATAGTCCTTCCAGAAATAGCAAAAGTGTGTGAATTCATAGTAACCCACATCATAATGCCAGGGGTTAGGCCTGTGAATTATAAGTGAATACACTCTGAAACATGTCACACACACAAATGATTATCACTTGCTTAAAGGTAGAATCTGTTCTCATCCCTGAATACTACAGAACACTATTTGATCTCCTCTCAGGTAAACCACTTGTGACACTAGTAAAGACATGCATGACAGCAGTCTAGTAAAAGTAATACCGTGAATAATGTAGAATGATAAAGTTCTAATTTTGACTGGGATTAAACCATGAATATATTTAAGCACATCAAATGTAATACTTTAAGAATTAGACAGAAATAAAGTAACTAAGTGCTACTCAATTGATATTCCAGCTATTGATGGTTCATGCAAGATTATGTGAAGCTACTTGAAATTCTTGAAACTGCAGGGCAAGTTTGTGTGGCAACTTTAGGTCATTTTAATGGTTTATCAGTTTTGGGAGATTATTTTTGTTGCCTGGGAGATGGGTGGAGAGCAACAACCCTTACCTGTAAGCTTGCATGAGGACAGCTGGGCCGAGATATTTGTCCGAGTTCCACCAATAACTTGGGCATGAGGTGCTGCAGCAAGCACACAAAATACATTCATAGAGGCCATCCTAGAGAAAAAGAACAAGAAATGATTGTTGGTTGGTTAATTTAATGGCATATCAATCCTTGTTGGGTTATTTAATGGTGAATATGATTCTTGTAGGACAAAGTTCATAATGAATCAATATAGGTAGGCATATATTGTTTACGCAAGAGTCAAAAAAGGTAGACCCATGAGAGGATGCAGCCAGTTTATTCTAAGCCCGGTAAACAAGGCAAGCAGGAAGAGAAAAATATTATACTACATATGCAATTTATTAATGTTCATTTTTTGTTTTTTGTTAATACTTTCTTAAAGATTGACAAAGGCAGTCTTCAAGCTCGATATCAAATCCTATCCTATTTATAGAATTTATATAATTATTTGCAAATAGATGTGTGTGTGTGTGTGTGTGTGTGTGAGAGGCAATTATGTACAATTAAATTAACAGTACTAAATAAGAACGAGATGAGATATCCCAAGACATGGGCAAAATATAGATTAAATAAAAGGTTCAGTTTAAAATTCTCTTAAGGTTACATGAATTGACAACAGTTATGCCCTGCTAAATGTTCACTCTTAAATACCTGTTGCACAATATCAAATATGGATTATAACCCAAGAGAATGATAGTGAACAAATAGGAAATATTTATAAATCTAACAAGTTTCACTTTTACATGTTAAATTTATAAACATTTTCTATTTGTTCCTTATTGTGTGTGTGTGTGTGTGTGCATGCTAAAAATATAGTTTTAAGGTATGCTATATTTATGGGTAAAAAGTGCACAATATCAGGGATAGTGCATATGAAAACATAAAAATGAACACTGAGGTCCACACAAAGTGGTAATAATCTGTTTCATGCGAGCTTTAGGCCTGAAACATAGCATACCTTAAGACTATATTTATCATTTTATATAATACATACAAATACAAAAACCTCGAATGAATATTATGTTGAAAGATTACATTCAACAATGTTTTCAATTGCAATCCAAGTGTACAGTTACCATTCAGTGTCAAATTTATACAGATTCATTATTTTATATATACAAATAATAAATCTGTTTATTTATAAATAATTTATATTATTAATAATAAATAAATCTGAGTTATCAGATTTATTTTATTCATTATTATTAATTCTCTATCTTTTGATACTGAGTACTCTAAATGCAAAGACTGCTTGCCTTAAAAATATTATCATCCAGAATTACCCTGGTCAAATATATTTTATGAAACACAATGTTACACACACACACACACAGTGTGTATATACTAGTAAAATGTGCATGCATAATAACAGTGCTTTGGTTTCATGTAAAACGAGATTTATACATCTTATACACCTCTCTAATAATGATCACAAATCCAACAAAAGATCTAAACACGCACAATACGTCTTTTGTCCAACTTCAGTTTACTTTTTGTTAAGGACACAGGAATATCCAAAATGTGTGCAACGAATACTGCATGATGACTGCCACTTTTATCAAATTGATCACCATGCATTGCCGATTCTTATATCCACATACACAGAGGAAAAAAAACTTTTTGAGCATGCCACCAAAACATCACAACTTTTTGGGTAACAGTTTGTATTTCAGAGAAGCAAGACAGAAGAGTGATAAATTATTTGTCTTACCAATTTGGAACGATCTTCAACAGACTGAAAAAATTGTTCCTTGCCAATGTCTTCCTCCTTTATATCTTTCTTCTTCAGATAGGGCTCAATGGAAGCATACTGAGCATAAAAATTATTCATATCCTGAAAAAAATAAGATGAAACTTTGTTAACTATTCTGAAAGTGTGTTTTGGAGCATCAGAGTTATGGATTTCAGGTTGAGCTTATTTAATAACTTTATTTTCATATCAGATTTGACACATCAGAATTCACCATTAAAAATATTGCAGTTTTTGGTAATAAAATGAGAAAAGAATAAAGATGATAATCTTTAATATGAGTATGTAAGGAAAAACAAAGATAAACCCAAAAAACATTGGCCTTTTATTGCCTCTTTGAAGAATAAATAATGCAAAGTGAACATACTTACTGGAACCAAATCTTTGATGACGTACATGTGTGGCAGAGGGTAGATCTTTGTTTGTTTCGCTGTATTGTTGTCAATTTTGCTGGAAAAAAATGATTAGATCTATGCTGAAGCTAAATCTGTACTTATCTTTTCTGTTTGGAGGATTGCTTAAAAAATGTGATACATTTGAAGAACAAAGGTTTCCAATAATACTTGAAAATTTAATGTATTTCAAGTCTCTTGAAAAATAGAATAAATATCCAAGAGACATCTACAGCCTAAAAACAAATCAATAAAGAAAATAGTACTGCGAAATATAAAACAATCTGGTAAGGATTGACTTTTGCAGTTTTTCACTTCTATAGCACATACACCATTTAAACATAATTTTCAACAATAATAATTTTTCAACTCCAGGTATTAAAAAAAAACAAAAAAAAACTAATATCTCTCAGGTTGATATAAAGAAAAAAGCATTTTCAAAATTAAGCCTTTTGTTTGCTGCTGTAAATTATTTCAGTGGAGCTATGCATGAAATTACATTTAAAACAATGAAAATTAAAAAAAAAAAAAAAAAAAAAAAAAAAAGATTCCAAGCCACAAATATTTTCCATTTTGTTTTTTAGCATATACAAGATGTGATGTTCCACACATGGCCTTGTGCCAGACTAAACTTATTAACTATGGAGTACCTCACTATGAAGCAAGGGTTAGCAAGTAAGTTTCTCAGTTGATTATTACTGGAGTTAGTTCAATCCCCACTGGGTGTTTCAAACTTCCAGCCTTATGTCATACTAAGCTAAGTAAAGAAGCTGTAAAGTGAGTTACCAATCTTACTTCACCAGAATTTATCAGTAAACCAAGCAGAAGGCTAAATTATACAAATTGAAATGCTTACCAAATGCAAGCCAAAGTGTTAACTCCTCCAATATTCATGGCACATGAGCCACAGATACCTTCACGACATGAGCGTCTGAAAGTCAATGTTGGATCAATTTCATTCTTGATTTTAATCAAGGCATCAAGTACCATGGGACCACAGCTGGAAAAAAAAAAGTAAAAAATTGTAAAAAGACAAAATCATAAAAATCATTAATTCAAAAGTGTACATCAACATTAAATATAGCATAGTCATTTAGATATATAAATAAAAAAAGAAATTTATACAGAGATGTAGATATATGCACAACTACTCAAATGGAATTTAGCATAATGCCTTATTTAAAAAGGTAGTTCCATGCATACATAGGATGAAGAATGGAAATTGTTTAAGATTCCTCAGTATTTCCTCTTTTAGGCATCTCAGGTGCCAAGGATTAATGCTAGCTCCTTCCCAAACGAGAGTACTGTCTGGGGGTATGGCTTCCTTGGGCTCAAGCACATTATACTTAATTTTAATCCTGAAATGTACAAACTGACATATACACACACACAATTTAAATTAAAATGGACATCTGTGTTGTGAGGGCTAATTTCCCTTTCTGCCTGGTAACAACATCTGGGTAACAGAAAAAGAGTATAAGCAACTTGAAGTCATTTTTAAAAATATTATACTTTAAATAGACAAACAATTCTGATTTGAGATTTGATCATTTTGCTGTCAGCAAAGTAACAAATAATGAAATAGAAAATTAATAAAAAAAAATTGTATGGAGGTGTATATTAAATATTGTAATACAAGAGAAAAAAAAGACTCTTCAATAATTTTGTTAAAAAAATAAAAACTATATGCATGAACTAAAACTTGGGTAAAAGGGAAGGTGCCGAGCTTTTATCCTTAACTTGGTTAGTCACATTTACTGATCCAATCATTCTTCAATGTTTCTTCTATCATAACATCATATTTATGCTGAAATCTTTCAGGTTACAGTCAATAAAAAAAGTCATGAACTCTATATGAAAATTATAACTAAACTCAAATTTACAATTTAGGATAGAGGGATTAAATTAAATTGATAAATTGATTCATATATTAAAATTTATCACAACTAAAATCTAATATACTTATAAAAAATGTTTGTAAGCATCCTCTCAACAATGAGTAGATGTGGAAAGTGAAGACCTTGTCCTTTCAAGGAAAGATTCCTTTAAGACCACATTAAATGCAGCCCCAATTTTCTCAAGTACTTCTGTTCAATTCTCCATCTGGAAGTTTGGATTGAACCAGATGCTGAGTTATCTTGCATGGCCGATATACTTAACTGCAAGGAAATGGAAGAGAACAGACTTCCCCATGAGCCCAACCACAAATTAACAGACCTATTAAGGTTAATTCTATGTTCATTTTGTTTTATTTTTTTCATTGGTATTAAGGATGAAGAAAGCTGTTCAAGAGTGGATCTTCATTGATTGCTTAAAATGAAAGTACATTAATGGCACACTCTTTAGATGCACAAAAAACCTCTCAACTAGTGGATTCTTGAAGTTCATACAGGTGCCAGTAAGCCTTGGATGCACTGAGGATGTGAGCATTAAAGAACTGCTCAATTTCATCACTGATGATATCTTTCTCCTTTCCAGTTGCTAGCTTGATTGTGAAATAATCTGATCCTTTTGTGATATACTTGTGAATGCACTTGATACACTTCAGAGAGAATAGCACTGTGGCATGCAGTAAATTGTTGGGAGAATTACTTTTTAATCAGACAGGCTCTTTTTATTAGCATTAATATCATCTAGGGAAGTCAGATACTATTCAGCATGTATTTTCTCTTGGTGATTCAGCTTAGCTGCTTCAGCTTTTGCAAATTGTTCACAAATATATTACTGTTTAAATGTTTTGGTCATTAAGTTGAAATGGTGATCAGGATCAATGCTCTGTAAACAACATTAGGCAAACTCAGTTGGTGACAGCTTGCCTTTCCCATGTACATGAAACATGGAAATAAAGAGAAGATTGTGGAAAGAATCATACCATTGATCAGTTTCCTTTATTCCCCAGAATTTGCTACTGCATTAATGCAGGACGATTATTCACATTTAATCAAACATTATTAATTAGGTTTACAGATAATTCTTCAAATTGGGGATGTAAAATAATGACAGCCTCAACTGACAGTATAGGCCAAAATAAAATAAAAACGTTTAAATAGATAAATATCAATTCCATTTAAAATATTTGTTGTGATATTTTATTTTCACTGAATGATGTTAACTTCATCTGGGAATAGGCTTTGTTGATTTTCCGTCACGTCCATTAAAATGACTTAGTTACCTCCCTTGTAAATAATTGCAGTGAAAATGCTTCAGGTTTTATTGGCAACATAAGCAGTTTGATTATCTTATTTCATTTTTTGGGTAAAAAATAACAAATAATTCTGTTCCAGTACAGTCTAAGTGCATGGCTATTAATAAAGATGATGCCTCTTTCAACATAACAATCTACAGAAAACCAATTCAACAAGTAACTGAATTTGTCTATCTTGGGTCAAAAGCTTTCATCTTCAAATGATAGTTCAGTTCCTGTTCAACATAGAATAAGTCTTGGTTGGTCAACCTTTAAAAAGAACAAACCCCTCATAAAATCCTCTCAAATTCCCTACAAAATCAAAACCAAGATTTACAACATAAATTCTCCCTGTACTGTTTTACAGCCTGGATTGTGTAAGTGGAAACATTCCAGAATCATATCATGCAATTCATGACCAACAATTGCCTAACAGATCACATAAGGATACAAACCCTTGTAGATACAACTGGTCTGACCCCAGTAAAACCCTTACGTTATATGGTCACATCAAACAAGCAGAAAGAGATTTTCGAAAATATATACTGAAGTGAAGTTTGCTGGAAAAAGAAGCAGGGAGGTACAGTGAAGAAAGTGGCATGGCAATATAAACAAATGGACACAAAACGATTTTGGATACTTAAACTGAGGTAACTCAACTCTGGAGTGGGTTGAGTCAGAATTCCACTATAGATGGAGAAAGTGTTCTATGATGAGAGTCAAAAACCTTCCCAGGAATGGCTCTAATTATAACTGAAATTTTAGTTTAACATGTTGACTGCCAGTGGTCAATTACAAAATCTGCCTTCAAGCACTAACTTTATAATAGCTGACTTAGGCAATAAAACCTTTTTATGAGTTGTTTTATAGCTTCAACTGAAGTCTTAACATTGGTTTTATACTAAAAGTATCACTGTGAATAAACTCACAGTCTGCAAATAATGTTGCAGTCTGTAGATGAAAATGTATCAGAAAATGCCAAGCAAAGGTGTTTTTTTTTTTTTTTAAATTACTCTGATTGGAAATCATTGGGTTTAAAACTCTGTGCATGCCAGACTCTGTAGTGGTATGCCAAAGACAAATTTGCTTAATGACCACAATCTCATTATTTTCAAAGTTGTCTGGACCATTGAACACACAAAGCAAAACAGAGATTTTTAAAAAAATTCTGGTGGTTCTATTTTGGTAAACCTTGTTATGATTTCTACTGAATAAATATTTTTTTTGTATAGCAGTTGAAGTTAAATTGTAAAACTAAATGATATCTACAAAATTTTATGGCTTGCTGTTAATAAATTAAATCTATGTTTTTAACAATACTTACTTGTTCAGATCAATTTCATATGTCTGCATATGTGGCTTGTCTCCAGACTTGTCCGGATCCTGGCAGGATACACAAATAAGAAAAAGCTTTTGCAATAGATACTAAATTTGTGTACACATATACATAAGGTTTGTTCAGAAATCATTTAGTCATTTAATATTAATGAAAATTCTGATGATTATGCTTCAATCCTCTTCAAAAATACTCCCCTCAGGACCTGACACGCTTTTTTCCTAGGATCTCTGCAAAATCTATTTTGGGATTGTTACCAACTCTCTTGTTGCATTTTACTTAATCCCATCTATGCCATTCTAACAATGATTTTAAGTCTGAGAAAAGTCAGAAGTCACAAAGAGGCAAATCTGGAATGAAAGAGGAGCTGACAGACCCAAATGAAGCAATGGTTTGTCAAAAACCCTGAATGAGATGTGAAGAATCTATATGCAAAAGTCATTGTCAGTTGTGCCACAATGAAATCACACTGCTGACTGAGTAATGCATGTAGCATGGTAAGGTCCCTGATTGGTTGCCTAGTTATATTTTGCAACCAGTTCTCAAGATAACACAATGTCTGGATGCATTCCAGATAGACCTTGTGTGTGTGTGTGTGTGTATATATATATATATATATATATATATATATATATATATATAGATGAGATAGAAGTGCAGAAAATTACTTGAAATATTAATGATCTTTCTGAAAATTACAAGGGGATTAATAAAAAGTTCAACCAACTCAAAATCTGACTAAACATTTTTTTTTTTTTTTTTTTTTTCAAAAGGCTTTTCAACACCCCTTCATATAATCTCTGTATTTACTTTCATATTTTATTTAACACCATGCTAAAGCAAGGAAGAAAAAAAAGTCAAATAGAATACTCTAAATAATTTAAGTTGTTCAAACAATCAATCTGTATATTTATCAATATTTCCAAACTAATTGCAAGCTATCAAGGATGTAGCAAAATGTTTTTAGAGTTTTGTTAAAAGGTTTCATTAACATACAATAAGATTTTCTTTTATTTTTGTCCATCACCCATCTTTGTTGTTTTTTTTTTCTTCTTTTTTGGTCCAACACAAATTAAAAACTTTATGACAGCTACTCACTTAAGTTTGTTTTTTTTTCTTTTTTTGGTCCATTGACACAAATTATTGTAAAATTATGTACAATAATGGAATAGATATGAACAATTGTGGCTACTGAGACTTAAGAAAATAGTTGGTGGTTAGTACCTTGAAATGAGGGAGAGAAAAAAGCACTTACCGCTCCCCGCCTCGGCCAATAACATATCTCAAATTTTTTTTTATCCAATAAGGACGAATGCATTTGGATAATAATTATGGGATCACAAATGTTATTGGTAATGAACAACTATAAAACAACTACTTTTTTTTCCAAGTAATGGATTCTTATGGGACAATATAACGTGGGCACAATTGATTTGGAGACAGAACTCAAGAAGGAACATGAAATACCAGCTGAGTGAGAATTTACTGGGTTACTGTTTTTCTTCATTCGCACAACTATTTCGTTGATTCTTCAAAATGGAAGGCAAGGTCTTTGACGTCCGTTTGTCCCCGCTCCCAACGGATATGCCCATTGTTGAATGGATAGAAAATGGGAATTGGTCTGAACTTTGTGCCATGGACATGATCGAATCTTGCTTTTTACTGCAGTTGCTGAAATGTGGAGGGAGAAAAAATTAAACGGGCCCTTACTGCATACTGACAGATTTAATGCGTAATTTATGGGGACCTCTTCGCCAGGGGAACTGTGGATGAATAACATAAAAGAAGAACCGCTGATCGGGGATGGCATGTGCATTTGTGTCAGGACTGCCACATTTTATCCAATAGGATGGACGGAACAGATTCTGACCCGAGCAAGGGCTAATGCATTATGGGACATGGACGCAATGAATTATGGGATCAACCATATGGAAGATTGTACAAAGGATTAAACAGAACGCAGAGGTCTGGTCGCGACAAGCGGTACATGAACAACTAGAAAAAAAACTAGCCTTTTTTACCAAGTCGATGGAGTAGAGTGCACAGTTCTTCAGGATGTAACAGACGGGTGAGCAAGTTCACTGCTGGAGGCAGGAAGAGGTGCCAGAAAGACCCCTGGGCCGTGGATACGGTAAGTAAAATTAAAGTGTGATTTGGAGACAGAACTCAAGAAGGAATGCAATCAAAGTGCTCGGAGGTGTCTACAATCAGGCGGAGCCTGTTTGAAATACCAGCTTGTTATCAACAAGCCTGAGTGACTGCATTGAATTTTATTCACCTAGCAAGCTGGTTAAAGTGTTTTCCGATGCATCATTCGAACTAGCACAAGAGAAAGAGATTGGCCCACCCAAGGATTAATTTAATGGCGGTCGTATCCGATACTGATTCTTCAAAATGGAAGGCAAGGTCTTTGACGTCCGTTTTGATTCCTTGAGATTCATTGAAAATTATGGCCGTTTCAAACAGTGGTCATTAAGGGCAAGCGGTTTTGCCTTACGCTTTGGGTTTTGGCCTGAATGTGGCACCAACGGATATGCCCATTGTTGAATGGATAAGAGTGCCCGAAATATGGAATTGGTCTGCGAACTTTGTGCCATGGACAAGATCTGCAAGTCTGGGAAGAAAAGCATCTTGCCTTTACGACTTGACCAGGCGGTGCCCTTGCTGTATATAGACAACTCAGTGGGAGAGATAAAGGATGCCCCTCTTGGACGATGGGAGGAAACAGACGAGGCGGAAAAATTAAACTGGTGTGTGAACGGCAATGAAATGACAGTTTGGGTGGATGCAAGCTTATGACTGCACACTAGAGGTGAATGGGAGCGCTGAAGATGCTTGCTGGTTGCGAACCAATGATGCCAAACACATTAATCTTGCTGAGCTTGATGCGGTAATCAAGGGGTGAATCTTGCCCTGGGTGAACCAGTTATGCATGTGGGTCAATTGAAATGAATTGGGTGTCTGACACCCTGACAGGAAGGACGCCAGCGAACAGTAGGAGAACCGCTACCTTTGATCGGGACTGGATGGCATGTGCATTTGTGTCAGGACTGCCACATCATGTTTAAAAGAACAATGCAGGACTGTAGATCTTCTCAAAGAACTTCTTCCCTGTGAGGATGGATCCAGCACCAGTGCATTGAAGAAAGGAAATTTGAGTGTGAGAAAAACTGATTAGAATCTATTGAACATTTTCTGACCCGAGCAAGGGCTATTATGACGGATGACTTCTGGGGTGCCAGGTATTGATCCCGCCGACCGAGACAATGACACCAATGCTCACTTGCAGACAATTTAGGAATTTGCAGCTGGGGGTAGAGGTTCCGTGCGCTTACGTGCAGAGGTTCCGTCTAAATGGCATTATGGAACCTGCCAAACCTGTTAGCAGAACGGACAACCTTTCACCTTCCACGGCAAGTGATGTACTGCACATCTGGACCCAACCATATCACAAATAAATCAGGATTGACATTGTCTGAGGACGCCAGGAGAGGTCAAAGTGAAACACCTCGCAGAGGTCTTTTTTTGGGCTCAAATCCCACAACTGACCAGAAGACACGGAGGATAGTGAACAGCCAATATACATAGAGTTTTCACTCCGATAGTGGTAGTTGCAACGAGAGCATTCTGATGAAGACACATTTCCTCAGAATGTCATCTGTGTGATCAGGGAGATCAGGGGAGGTGGCATATGAGACGAACCTGGGACGCCAACTAGTCGCGACTTGCCTTGTCCCCGCCAAAAAGGGCCCGTAGTTAAAACTGCAGTTGAAATGAGGGAGAAAACACTTAGCCTTGCCCAATCCATCCTCGCCAGATAACATAAAAAGAATGAGGGGGACTGGCATTGCATTTTTATCCAATAAGATGGAATGCATTATTTGACATGGAGCAGAATTATGGGATCACAGGAAGATGCAAGGGATTATGGGTACATGAACAACTATAAAAACAACTACTTTTTTCCAAGTGGATTCAGGATGCTCACAGACGCTGTGTTTGAAATACCAGTGATTTGAGACAGAACTTTACTCAAGTTTGAAATACCAGTTACTGTTTTTACATTTCGCCTCAACAATTCAACTAAAAATTTTTTTTATAAATACATTGTATCTAAATACAAATTAAAGACATATACTTCATTCCATCTTAAATAAATCAACAATGTTTTGCAGCAATTCAACACTATGGATAAAAAAAATAATGAATTTTTATAGATTTTTTTTATACATTCACAAATTTGGACAGAAAAAAAAGAAAAGACCCGAGAATGATGTCAAAATCTGAAAAAATTTTTCATCCTTTAATAGTCAGTTGTACTTACATTCATATACATTACAAATTAAAGTAAGTAGAAAAAAAAGCAAATGTTGATAAGATAGTGAAGGTCACAAAGTACTGCCACATGTCCCTAATCAGGCTTGAATATTACAGATTTTGGAAGCCAATAAAACTGTGCTGAATGGTTTGATAGGTTTAAAAGTAAAATATCAAAGTCAATTTTGTCTCCACATAAGTTATCAATTGTACATATGTGCATACACAAGACAGAGTCTGTATAGAAATCTGTATTCTAAGTAAGCTAAATGTGATCTGTCAAAAATCATGATAATTGGACACTGTTATGCTGTTCTAATCAGAAAAACTGGAGATAATTTGGAATCCTCATAAATTAGGTTATTCATTTAAAATGAGCATTTTATAGGTGGAATTTGTTAGACATATGTCTAAACATTTATTCATTCAGATGATTACAACTAGACACAAATTCTCGGTATAGAGAAAAATGAAATAACAGTACTATTTTAATGTTAACTACATCTGAAACTGGTAGATATCAGCAAGATTTTTTTTACTGCATTTATTGTCTTTTTATTTTGGTCATATTCTGTACTAACAAACAAAATGTTAAAAGAAGAGAGAAATTTGAAAATTAAACAACTTATGGTAGAATTTTTAAGCCAATAATTGTTTTAAAAAATTTCATTGTGTTGCATATCGAAAAATTAGAAAAAAATGCATTGTCAGTGGTCAAGAATTAATAAAAGCATAACTGATAGAATATGGCTACTATATGTAAAATGCATTACTAATGACTTTTCATAAACACATTGATAATGATTTTTACTATAGAAATACTTAAAATCAGGAAGAAAGATTAGTAATTAAGAATTAAGGCAAGCATAACTTTACATTTAATATAAATACATTACTAATGATTTTACTATAAAAAATAAAATTGGGAATCAAGAAAAGAAAAGGAGTATCAGTCGTAAGGAATTAATGCAAGTGTGACTGACAGAATAGAGATGATATATATAAAATGCGTCAGGTAATAATAAAAAAATTTAAAATAAAACTTTAATAACAAATAGCTATTGTCTTACCCATCTGTAGACTGTAAATTTCTTGAAACGTTTTTCTGGTTTGACAGCAGCTGCTGTTTGTGTTAATCTCATAGACTGAAAGAAAAATGTCAAAGTAAGAAAAAAAAAAAAACACAATCAAGTAGCAATAAAATGTTAAGCTACCAAAGAACTGCTTAAAATCCATTCTTAGAAAAATTTAAGACCAATTGTTCAAGAAGGAAAAAACAAATTGTCTGGAGATCTGGGATTATGTATTGTCCTCTGCAGACATTATATGGATTAGTATCTTTATCCATGTTGTTTTGATTACTAAATTTTTGTCTGAATTATTTTCTGGCATTCCTTGGGCTATCTGAAGTATGGAGATGAAGTCATTATTACAGAAATTATTCAGGCAAGTAACTTTATGCCTGTTGTTTTGATCACTACATTTTGTCTAGACTGCTCTCTGGCATTCTTTGTACTATCAAAGCACTGAGATGATAGTATTATTATAGGAATTATTTGTGCTGTTATCATCACCTTTATAGTTCTTAAATTTTGTCTTGTTTGCTACCTAGCATTCTTTGTATTATCTGAAGTTCTGAGATGAATTATTGCCATTGCAGGATTTTGCCACTTCGAATATAAACATATATGAAAATATGAAAAAAGAAAAAAATGAAGATTGCTAAATGTAGCTTTCACCTGAGATTGGATAGAGAGTTTACTGGTCAAAGTGTGGCTATTCAAAACCACAAAGGCGAGAATACAACTCTAAATAATTCAGCAGAAAAAAAAGAAGGAGATGCAAATTAAAAATTTAATACATTTGTGTTTATTATTTTTGTCAAAAAAAAAAAAAAAAAAAAAAAAAAAAAATCAAATCAATATTTCAGACTAATATCTCTATCTTCCTTGCTTTTAGATAAAAGGTTTCAACTTCAGCATTCCTGAAGAGTATATTGCATCAAGTAATTCTTTTAAAAAAAAAAAAAAAAAAAAAAAAAAAAAAGGCCCCCAAAAACAAAAAAACAAATAGCTAGAATTTCAACTCATTTAGGGTTATTTAATATCATGATTTCTTTAATGGGGTATATTTTGATTTTAATTTGAACGTTGATTTAATTGTTTGGATTGATAAGTTCCGTTTGTACAAAGGTCAAAATTTACCATAAGTTCCCTATCATGGAAAGTTCATCTCTTTTAACATTCCAAGGGACAAAGAACTATGTAAGGTAGAAACATTCAACTCCTTGAGGTATCTGATATACCTGTGAGGTAACTCTCTGAGATTACCTAGTAAGTTTTATTTCGATATTTATATTTTGGTTTATTTTTTTTGTGAAGGTGAAAAACACATTATTAATATACTTACGAAATAAAAAAATCAAAATAATACACATAAAATGTTTTATGAAATTGCTTGGTGAGGAAAAAAAAAAAAAAAAAAAAAAAAAGAAGTTTTTGATTATGCAAAGTCAGTCACTAGCACTAGATATGCAGGTAGTATGATGGTTATCAGTGCAGAAAAGGAGACATGAGCCGAGTTTAAAATCTAGCCTTTGCTTTTGCACTGAGTCATGATAATGATATTATGTTTCCTTGTAAGAAAACATTCTGTATTTATTGACTGAGCAGACAGTATTATTTTAGGTTAAAATTTATCAAATCTTTCTATTAAAATTTTCAGGAAAATAGGTTTCTCAAATCCAGTAAGTGTTATTGCACTTTCCAGTATTTTTCAGGCTTCCTTCCTAACCTTTTGTTTAAAGTAGTGCTGAATGTCAGCATCTTGATTATGCCATTATTCTCTCGAGTTACATGCGTTGTCTACTTTAATTGTTGCTTCTGTTGAAATTCATCAAGTGATGCGGTTTTAGTTATTTGGTGCAGTTCTTTGCTAGTATCAGTATTACCAGTCCTTGCTAAAACCTACATACTTCACTTGCTTGAGGCTATTTATCAAGAAAGTGGATGCATACAGCTGACAGTTCAGATATTTCTGAATGTGTTAGGTGACATGCATGACATCTGTATGAAAGTCTTTATTTCATGAGAGTATTTCAGAATGTGACTTTGGTTTTTAGGCTGTGCTAGGAACTTGCAGTGTTGTGTGAAAGTACACCTAGTGCCACTTACTCTATTTCAATTTCTTTATCTCTGATACTGAGTTAATAAACTGTTTAGTATTTGCTAATTCCACATGAAGAATTTTTATGATGGATTCTGGATATGTGCCATCAATACTTTCATTCTAATTCCAGATCATTGTTTTGGAAAGGTTTTTTAGTCCTATTTCCTGGAACATTTGATAGATATTCATTGTTGTTCAACCACCTTCATTATACTGGGCTCAGAAGGGAATGTCATCAATAACAGTATGAATCAGTCTTCCTCCCAGCTATGGGTTAAATAACAATGTAGACTGACCTCTATAACTTTTGGATGCAGCCAGTCTAAAATAATTACTATGAATTAGCTACCTCCACTTGGTCATGTAAAAAACAGAATAGCATGATGCAAAAAGGCCCCAAACTCAATAAAAACAAAGTTTTGTCATCAAAATGTTTGTTATTATTAAGAGGAAAGACCAAAGTATTTTTTTTTATTTTTTGAAATTTTTTACTCCTGTCTAGCACATTCCAAATTTTGGTAAACAAAAAACAAAAAAAAAACTTGTTTTTTATTTTACGAAAGAGAACTAGAGAAAAAGGATTTGTTTTATTTTGCGCTTTTTCCGAGAAAAGCACACATTAATTTGAAAATTCTTGCAAATTTCAAATAATTGTCGGATTTTAATGAAACTTTCAGGACGTATTCAGAAATGAATGAAATTATTTTTGAAATTTTTATTTTTGGAAAATCTTGGTAAAAAAATTTTTTTTTTTTTTTTTTTACATATGTTACCCACCCACTTACATAATTTCATGAAAGTTCAAGAAATTAAATTTTTAAGTGGGACTCTTTAGAGAAAGTAAATCATCAATTTTTTTTTGTTAAACAGTTACTTCTTTCATCTGCTCTGAACTGTAAAATAAAACATGCAATAAAACTATAACATTATTTAATTAAAAAAGCTATTAATTGCTTTTGTAAATAAGTTATATTAAAGGACATTATTGTCTGAAGAAATATATCTTTTTTCATTTTTAAAAAATTCTAATTATAATAATATAATAGTTCAAAAATCATTTAAAATTCTTCATTGCTTTCAAGATAGTGGTTTGGTGATATTGTTAAGTGCAAAGTAAATTTACGAATCGAAATTTGAAAAGCTCATAACAGTCGTTTGAACCTGAATATTTTCAAAATAATTTTTAGTGAAAAAACATTCCTAATTTCTACCTATGGGAATGTATAGATGACATAATCCTTAAAAAGGTAAAGTAATTTAAGTGTTGTCTCACGCTCTGCGATTATTTAACTTTTAATTCATTTCTATTTCATCATTAACGTCTTTGCAAATCATCCCTTCAAAATATTAATATTTCACTTTTTTTACTTACTATTTCAATAGATATTTTTATTTTATGCATTTATTTTAATTTGGGTCATACTTCAATTAATTAATTCTTTGTTTATGGTAGTAAACTTAAGAACCTAGAAATGAAATGAAAATTTCATAAAGCTTCTTAAAAACTTAACTAAAAGTCAATAAAATATTAAATAATTGCTGAAAATATGTAATTTGTAAAAATTACTAGGTAGTTAAAAAAAAAAAAAAAAAAAAAAAAAAAAAGCGTTCACTTAGATTTCGTAAATTTATGTCATTTCTGGTCATCCAAAGAAAGAGGAACCCATCGTTAAGAAATGCTTGTATATTGTTTTTTTATGCTATAAGTAATATTTATTTTAAACCAAATTAATTTAACTTTAAATTTTCTAATTTTACTCAAATAAAGTGTCACAGATCTATAATTTTTAAAGAATTTAAAACCCGAAATGTGTTTGTTTACAAATTTCTTAAAAATTAAGAAAATGGCCACTTTTAAGAGAATTAAAAAAAACAAAAAAAAAACGAACAATTATTTGACATTCCAACTCATTTAATTTGTATGAAATACACCAGAATATTTTACTTGAAATAATAAATTTAATTTAATAATTTTTTTATCTTTTAATTAAAACTAGAAAAAAATCTTCAAGAATGCTTTTTTATTTTAAAAATTTAATTTTAAAAACGTAGGTATCGAAAAAATAAAAAAATTCAGTGGAAGTGCCTACTATGAATTCAAAACTTTAGAGAAAACATCGGGGAGCCAGCTTAATATCCTTCTTTACCAACAACTGTTGATATTTAGTAGTCCCCCCCCCACCACGAGTCTACATGTGGCACAAGGCCGAGTTTAACGTGGGTCATCCGAGCTCGTAGGCGCTGCCAAAAAATCCCCGTAGAACCTGTATAAACGAGCTCGGGTCTGTCTAACTCTCAGGACGAGACCCTATCCTTCGGAACAGCCTTCTTGTCAGAGTTCCTCTCTGCCCAAGGCAGATAATTCGACAGGAGCTGCGAACAGTCACAGTCTCGGTAGAACAGTGTTAATATCATAATTCACAGATAACAGATAAAAGAATCTATGAAGAGCTATGATCGCCTACGTACTGAAAGAACAAAACATTAAAAAGTAAATAAAAAAAAAAAAAAAAAAAGACAGACAAGTTTTCATACTACTCTAAATATTTATTTTTCGTCCGTTTCCCAAAGACAGTCGGATAAGTCTAGCTGGAGACACTGTTGATTTTAATTTAATAATGTCCTAAATAATTTTAGCATACCAAAAATTGAATTACTTCCCTTACGTCAGAATTCTTTACATAGCCTCATATTCTAGAATTTGTTAAAAGAAGAGGAATGATCACACTTTGGAAGAACAATACAAAACAAATTATATATTTGTTTTGTATTGTTTTGTATTTCATTTTAAAAATTTTTTTTTTATCAATCTTTTTTCACAGAGTTTAAGTAGTTGCTATATACTTGAAATACATTATATTACATTTCAGGCGACATTTTTGCCTTATTTCTGATGCGTAACTTTTCCAAATCCAAGACTAGAGTGTAGGCACAGAATTCCATTATGAAATGTAAGAAGAAGTAATTTAAATTTACTTTTTGTTACGCAGAATTTGTTTAGGATGTTATAAAAAATCAACAATAACCGTATTATTTTACTATTCTTTAAAAATCTAAATTTCAAATGAAAATACTAAGAAGTCAATTATTTAAGACTTAAGACTAAGAGTGAGAGACGGACCTTTCTCCACGTTTTTGTTTTCTTCTTTTTAGTACGCCACTCTTCTACTTCGAAATGTAGAAATATGGAATTGTTAAAGAAAGCAACATTTTTCTTTAAAAGAAAACAATTTCGATTAATTAAGACGTGTAACACAAGGAAAACATTTAAATAAAAAGAGAAAAATGCATCACCGAGTATTTTAGTGCTAAATTACTTTAGTTTACATACGAATAAAAATGTGTCCATGAATAATAAAAAAAAAAAAATTAATGAAATAAAGAACGGGAAAAGAAAAGCGAAACTAATAAGAAAATAAAGCGAAAAACAAATTCCATATTTTCGCTGTTCCAGCAATCATTACTTAGCATTCTTTTACACTACAGTATAAGAATGCTAAGTAAAAGAAAAAAAATTACTTAAAAGCTGAAAAATAAATCATTTTTATTTTTTGGTAATCAAAAAAAATGTAAACAAGTAAAAATATTTTTTAATTTTTTTTTTTCAAGGATGGAAAAGTAATATTTTTACACTTTTTACAGCGAGTAAAAATAATCATTATTCTTACATAACAATTATTACGTAAAAAAAATTGAAAAGTTAAACTTATGAACTTGGAACATTTAACAAGGTCAGTTGCGCTTTAAACATAAGCTCGGTATTTTAAAAACAAAACATTCTTGAATTCAAATGGAAAGCAACTGAGAGTTTTACTTTACAGTTCATAATTATAATATCAAGTATATTCACCTTAAGTAACGGTAAACATGTTTTTGATGCTGAAGACAAGCGGAGGGAGAGAACGGACGACGCCATCTTTAACATGCGCTCAGTTTGACAACAAACATCAACTTCCGGCAAAACACCGGAAGTGGTCATTTGTAGTTGCAGATAAAAATAAAAGTTATACAATCTCAATGACCCTCACGTCAGCAGCTCTGTAAACTTGATTCCAAGTTGTCGAAAATTGGCATTATCATATCTTGGAAGTAATATAGTTAATTTTAATTAGCTATTTTCCACCTCCAGAGATTCTTAGAACGTGTCACTTTATGTAACATTATAGAAATAAGATACACATTTCATGACGCAGGTTAATTAATAAAGCACTAAAAACATTTTTTTTAAGTTGTTTTAATTGCGTAAAAGATTGTTTTTACGACTAAATCTAGTCTATTATTTTACGATTAAAACAAAAATTAAAACTTCAAAGAAGATATTTAAATTGCTATCAAAAAAAGTAAATGTGCGACTGTCCCTAACTAACATCATTTCAGTTATGTGCCATGCGTGATACACACTAGGCGATCAAGTAGTTTTCGATACATGATTGACGAGGCAAATATTTTCCTGCAGTAGGTTGCCATTTCTTTCTGCCTTAGACCAGTTGCCATCCAAAGCCATAGAACCCGGTCTGTCCTATTTATCAGTAGTTGGGGGAGAAGAAGAGGAGTCATACCTTTCCCAAGGCTATTAGCACGTAATATAAGGGATTCGACTGGAATTCGAACTCGGCTCTCCAATTCCTCAATCCGAGCCGCTATCCATTATCCATTACTCCACCATTTCACGACTTGCAAATACAGTTCATTTATTTATTTATTAGAGAATTTGGATAGGTTGAACAGAGAATCATGAAAGTATTTTGTAATCTCGCTGAGGAATAGTGAACAGGAATAGTTTTTGAGAATGAGTTTTGTCAGAAAGTGGAAAAACAATAGTAAGATTCTATTAATTTTTTATGCATATGGAATACAAGCTTCTTATTAGGTGTATAGTCAAGAGCGTTGACTAACAAGTTTGATTTATTTGTAAAACGTACGTAAGAAACACTTCAAGAGTTAAACAGAAAATAGCAACATCGATTTTGTCAAACAGAGAGTCTCCAGGAAGAATGTTTACCCAAACAAAAGATTTGACGGTAAACTATTAAATATATTTTCCTTTTAATCAAATGTGCTACTGAGTTGCTAGCACCATACACAACCACTTTGAGTTCACAGCTGTTCTTCTCATAGACTGGTTGCCAACCAAACTAGAAAACCCAATCTACATTGCTTTTAACGTCTAATTGGGTGGTAAGGAGAAGGGATGCAGTCATACGTTTCCAAGATTATTCGTGCAAAAGCGAATACAACGGCTGGAATTTGAACGTGACACGTCTATGGAATTAACACATTAATTCCATTTATATTTTACGCGCGCGCGAGTTTCCTCCCTTCCTTTCACACTCGTGCGTGTGTGCGCGCGGTTTTCACGCCTACCTTCCACTCACAGCTAGACATAGCAGTAACCTCGCTAGCTCCTACTGATGAACTCACAATAGATTTTGAATTTTTTCCCGCGCGTTTTTCGGCGTTTCAAAACGGCCAGCGTTTGCAACCAGTTGCCTCTCGACTTTCGACCTGACTAGATGGGCAGATCATTTATTCCGTGCCCCCTTAACCCATATGCGGGCCGGAATATCTTATTTCAACAATGGCGACCTCACACTCTACCAAGATTTCTTCTCGTCTTGAAGCTGCCCGCAGGTCAGACCTTCTCCGTTTTCTACCAGAAGACGTTAGAGACACACGACACGGTCGTGAGCAAAAACTTCGTATTCAACTAATGGCTTATTTTTATCCCTCGTCAGTGAACCAATAAATACAGACAGGGATATCCTACTGACGAACAACTTGCTAATCGCAGGTCAGACCTTCTCCGTTTTCGACCAGAAGACGTTAGAGACACGACACAGTCGTCGGCAGAAACTTTGTATTCAACAGGTGACTTACACTTACCCCTCGTCAGTGAACCAGTAAATACAGACAGGGATAGTATTACCTCAGAACAAACCTTTTTCGTCTCCCTGGGCTCGCCGTAGACAACTCCACAAGACCATGACCGAACTCTGAGTCCCTACTTTGAACCTAAAACACAAAATCACATACGCTCTCAAATCATTGGACTCTGAACCAGTACCTTAAAATATATGCATAACCTCACTTACAACGCCAAAAAATCCACAGTGAGTACTCCTTTCTATCTGTGCGCACATACACCTCGTGTCTAACGAGTTTCCTTTTCCCAGAGCCTTATAAAACTCTTTTTCCCGCCTTAGCCATCTTGTATTCCTATTTTGGCGCGGAACTTTTCATTAATCTCGTACCACGGGATAAGTTACTTGTTTTTCCTGCATTTAATAAAAATTAAAAATTACTCCAGTCTTTTTCTGTCATTCTGTGCCGGCTATCTTAATATATTTTATTTTATGCACTTGTTGATTGACCCCTTTCCTCTCACTGTTCATTCACGCATATTTTTATCTTTTTTTACTTTGCTTGTAGACTCGGTAGTTTAGTGTGGTGTCTGGCACAAGGCCACTTCGTAATAAACCAGCACTGCACGCTGCCGGGTCTGCAACACGTCAATCCCAAATTCCTCAACGATATCTGCCACGCCACACGCACATCCGCAGTATAAAGGTATGTTTTAATTGATTCACATTGGTTGCATTTTTTTACATGGTAATAAATTTAATCATTTATAATGTTCGTAGAAATAGACATAGATCTAATACAGAGAAATTTCATACCTTTTAGTAAATACCATTACTCACAGTTTAGACGAATTTGTGGAGTACCGGAGCACCCCACACGATGTACAAATCTAAAAAGATAAATAGCACGCTCTCTTACTGAGAGAGTGGAACTTGAATAGAACTTTTTGTCGACCTCTCTGACTCCGGTCAGAGAGGAACCCAGACTAGGCTATGCCGAAGTGCAGAGTCTCATCAGGGGAAGTAGACAGCCACCCGACACTGTTTATGCAGGGGTCTACGGGGAATTTTTATCCGAGTGTACGCGCTCGGAATGCCCCACGTTAAAAACCGGCCTTGTGCTACATCCCGTCTTGAGACTATGCCGTGTATGCGGGGTCTACGGGAATATTTGCCCGAGCGTACGCGGTCCGAATACTCCAAGTGAAAAGTCTGCTTTGTGTCACATCTCGCCTTGTGGGGAGGCTTCGAGTAAATATCGAATTTAAACAGACCCAAACCGATAGTTCGCTGCTAGGGTCGGGTCTGTTTTGTCGAACCCTCTGCCTTTGGGCAGGGAGGAGCCCAGACGAGTCTATGCCAATGGGCAGAGTCACGCTTGGGAAGGTAAACAAACCCGATTCCGTGTATACAGGGTCTACGGGATATTTTTGCCCGAGCCTACCGGCTCGGAAAACACACACTTACACATTAAAAGCCTGCCTTGTGCCACATCCCACCTTGTGGAGGCACTTGGGTAAAATACCTATGTTGAACATAACTGAGGTGAAGTTCATGACTAACTGTTATTCCAGTAGACTTTGTTTTTGACTGTTAGCATTGAGTTACTCTTTGGAATAGATTACTACTACTTTTTATGTGTATCGACATCCATTTCACGATTCAACAGAGGAGGAAAAGGAAATAAAAGCGTATTGACTTACAAAAGCTGGAATGTAATTTTTTTTTATATCTAACTGTTCCGATTATCTCTTTGGGCAAAGTGAGTTGCTTGGCATGACTGATAATGACCTGTTGCAAAGTTTTTGTATTTATGTGTTTTCAAGAGATACAAACACGAAATATTTTGAATTTACTCAAACCAACAACAAATGTTTGAAAAATCTCTTTTTATAAAAATGTATTTTTACTACGTTCACAATTGTCTACATTTTATTTTAGATTTTATTTTGGCGACTTTTCCCTGAAGCCTAGCGTTTGGTAATATGGGTTGGCAAAGGACGGATGAGTTTCTTATAGGAGCTAAATATCAGCATGCAGCTAAGAGATTGGAAATATCCTTTTCAAAAAGCCAGCGATTGTAGTGTCATCTAACATGTGGCACGCAGTGTATCAGTACATCATTACAGCACATGCATGGTCGACGGACATTTCATCGAAAAAGTACAAGTAAAAATAGTAACAAGCAATACTTTAAGTATTTTAATTAGCAGTATTATAAGATAGAATAGGACAAATAATTACCACTGAATTTCAAGTGATTAAATTGCTAAATCTAAATTTAAAGTTAAAAGTTTTCTTATTTCAATATTTGTTTATTGAAATTAGTATTTTTAAAAATATTTCAGGGTATTTGGGTAAAAAGTAGCACCTAATTATTTAAATTCGTATTTAACAGTAAGATAAAAGCTAGTTCATTTCTTTAAGATAATGATCATTAAAAGCAAAATTAAAAGATCTTTCATATCGTAAAAGCTTAATATTTTTACTGCAGTAAAATGTGCCTTTGCTCAAAATTCTCATCATCTTACAGTAATATTTGAAGTAAAATATAATATATACAGAATAGATTAAAAAAAAAGCCTGTAAAAAAAAACAATCCCCCCAATTATAAATTAATATAGTAAATGTTGCACATTACAATAAAGAGTGTGACATACATATGAGTACGACACTACATTTTCGGCTAAGATTCCCGACCTCCCCAGTTTGTTTTGGCCCCTTTTTATCTCGACGGGGTCAGCTTCATATTTTCCCCATGTGCATCTATATTTTCACCCCCGACTCCCTTAGCGAGAGAGCCTCTTGATTTTGTCCAATGGGCAGAATACAGCGGCCTCTCCATTTTGAGGTTTGGACGGGCCCTACTAACATCAGTTATGTTTAGTTTACTTTGTGTTGAGTTTTATTTTTATTATTGGGTTCATCTCCTCCTCTCTCATTCTTCATTATTAGAATTTATATATATATATATATATATATATATATATATATATATCATTAAATTGTTAAAGCATGGGGGCGCGTTTTGTAGGTTTCCCCTTGAGAGGATGCGGTATTGTGGTGGATGGAGGATTGAGTGGTGACGGAGAATTCTTATGGTGAACGTGGAAGAATGTGGGAACTGTAATGTGTGAATGGGTCGTGAATCAGATTAGCTAGGTATAAGGTAGTTAATGACGATCAGCCTCAGCCCCTCCCCATTTTGGCATTGTGCCACAATTGTATTTTATATACAATAAATATCCTACATTTTCGGCTAAATGTCCATTCGGTTAAATGTCCGTCGGCCAAATGTCCGAGTACCCAACACATGGTGCTATGATGGAGAGAGTGTGCATCGCAAGGCACAAGCAAGTAACCACTTTAAATAATTCACTTGTGCAGGCTGTTCAGTAAAAAAAACTTATAATTTACTGAACTCTCGCCCGTCGTTCTCGACGGGAGAATCTCTCCATATACAACTACGCTGACAATCCTGTGAAGGGTTGGTATTTGACTTCGTGTCGCTAGCAGATGTCGAATGTCGGTGGACCGCAACAAACAAAACAAAGACCTGACTAGAAAAAGAATGGCCAATGTGTACTGACGCACATGGGTACAAGATGCGAAGGTATAGAGAATGATGGGCCTCAAGTTAGCATAATGTTGTGTGTGTGAAGCCATTTTTTCTTTTCGTTGGGACGGCTACTAAACACGTCCGAACTCAATGGTTGGAAAGTGAGAAAAACACGATCATCTCCTTTCCGGAAGTGGGGGGCGGGGGTCATAAAATTCACACCTGATCGGAAATCCTTTTTGGTTTCCTTTTGCATTGTGGGAAAATTAAATTCTTTATTTTATTATTATTATTATTTTATTTATTAGTTTATTTTCATTCTCTCACAATCCTTTTATATGGCTTTTTAAAGTCTCTGAAGTTCTTTACAAGCTAGATATTTTAATTCTGAATATTTCTATACATATCTAGAGTCCACATTCTGAAAAAAGAGTAAAATAGATGAAGCAATAATCACTATAGTATTTTAGCGCTATTTGAGCCTGGTATTAATAACCAAGGTTCCAGCTTTTCTCATCGCTGTCCATTTTGACTATTTTGTAACTCTGTTACTCTTATGTTTAGCTTCAGTTACTTTTTACGCTAATGAATCACTAAATATATTCCTGGTAGAAGAAAAAAATATTTGATTCTTTTTAACGATAATAAATACGAGCTGTTAGTATCTGTCGTAATGCATCTGCAAGTCATCCGCCAAAGGGAAGGACATTAATATTGTGTCATCACGAGTGACATAAGAGCAAACCTGACTTCTGATTATGAAGAAGCTAACATGAGGTGCCCACTTTGTACGCTTTTCATTGTTTCATAAAGAAATTCATGATCAGTTCATTTAACACTAATGTTGTTTCCTTATTATTGTTTATTTTCCGTGCACTTATCTGGACGAACTGTGGATTGCATATGGAATACAAAACATTACCTGTTCATGACGTTGTAACCAGTCTTGGAGAAGAGAAGGTCAAAGCGCTTGAATTTTTTTCATATTGTTACTGGATACGACACCATATCATCATTCTGCGGAATTAATAAATGTACAACATTGGACATTTGGATATTTTTTCACGAGGTTACATAAACGTTTGTGAGTCTTTCTGAAATGCCAACCTGTATTAGAGATGACAACATTTGCTAACTCGAAATATTGATGAAACTCCTTTATAAGAGGACAAGCGAAAAAACACATTTGAATCAGGCAAGAAAGCCTATTTGACAAGCTTTCAGCTTTATCGCATACAACCGGCAGAAGATGTCCATATACAGCACATTAAGAGATTTGCATACCAAACCGGACTGGAGAGATTTTTTTTTTTGGTGTTTGGGTGGTGGGTCAGTCAACTATAGCTAAGAAGCACTTACCTAGTGCGCCTTTGTAGAGATAGATCACAGTCGGTGGATTTCTTTCGAGACACCTCTTCCAGAGGCAGCCAAATCATACGACCAGTTCCTTGGACGAGGGAGTGTTGAAAGGTTTTTTGGCCGGATCAATAAATAATTTCAAAAGTATCTGGACATTTGGTCAGATTTTTGATAGTGGGTTGAGTCGAGAAAATTTCAGTAGCATTTTATGTAATGTTATGCATATATATATATATATATATATATATATATATATATATATATATATATATATAATTTATCAGACTTTCTTTTTCATATTTTGAACAAGTATGAATGAAATTTATATTAATATATTGTTCTACAGTGTTGTTTTTAAGTAGAAAAAAATGTTTCAATTGTTTTCATTCTAATTCAATGACATCACAAGCATTCATTCTTCGATATTTAAAATTCAGAGCCAACAAACAGACTTCAAGATCAAATAGAGCGCTTCGTGTGGACTACTCGTTCGCCACGAGAGCTTTCATCCAATGTCGACAAAAAAATAAAAATAAAAAAAATAAAAAATAAATAAATAAAAAAAAAAAAATTTAAAAAATGAGACCCCGTGCTAAAAAAAAATTTCATTTTTTGCTAAGAAACTGTAAGCGGGCGACTGGCTTACGACCGTATAACATTAAGACACCGGTTCTCGCACGATCACCTAAGTTAAGCAACGGTGAGCGATACGCGGGTAGGAGGTGGAATCGGTAAAACGAGTTCAAATTCTATTTTTTTGCATTTACTTCGCACAATTGCCCTTGAGAAAGGCATGAACCCATTTTTTCACATCCGCCGGATATGAGTTAAACAGTAGTGCAGACTAAACTCTTTACCTTTGGATGACAGCCATTCTAAGAGACGGACAATTCTGAATTTTAAACCGTGGAGAAGGCATCAGGAAACCATTTCACTATTTTTTCTAAAAAGTCATAGCAATTCTCGGGTGATAAAGAAAAATCAATCTGTGGAGAGACATGATCGCCTACGCCCTGAACGGATATGGTATTTAAAAATTCGTTTAGTTAGGATGTAGTTTCAGTTGTCGTATTCATAATGAAACAGTAAAATAAAGATCTTAATGCATGATGCTGAAAATAGGACACGCAAACGTTAATACATAATACGTAGCTTTTCTTCTTTGTAAACAGTTTCATGACATTAAGATATACTCTGTATTTCTGTTTACATGGAATTTTCAATTGCCCTTCTTAACTTTACGATTATATTGAATGCTGTTTGACATTACAGTTGTACTGAAAACTCAGTCTCGAATACGGTAACGAGAAATTGAGAATAAATGCATATTGCCAGTAAACAAAGATTTCAAACTGCGCACTGCATTAACAGCGATTTGTTGTTATCGAAAGCAACATTTGCGTTTGGTTTAAAAACGGAGAAGACAAAAATGGAAAATAGGATTTCGTCAATCAGGACTGTAAATTTGATTGAAGCAGACAAGTTAAGCCCGTAGATTTTCCTCCCTTCTCAGTCTTTCTCTCACGCGCAATTTCAAGTCCACGTTCTGAATCTTTTCCTTTCTTTTCTTTCTCAACTTTTTTCGCTCCCGCTTCTCTCCATTTTCCACTTGCCTTTTCTTCTCTATATAATAGTTTGTTCTTCTTATCTCAATTCACTTCCGCCATTTTCTCCCCAATCACCAAGCTGTTCATTTTTTTTCTCTCCTTTATTTTTTTATAGTCTTTATAATTTTCTTCTTCTACTTCTTTCTTTCTTCAAACTACTTCTCTCTGTCCAGCATTCTACAAACACACACGCACACACGTACACGCACGCGAATACACACACACACACACACACACACACACACACACACACACACACACACACACACACACACACATATATATATATATATATATATATATATGCTAAATCAGTAATATCAACAAATCGTATTGCACATTGTCTGAATGGAAGTTAACTAAAGATAAATATGGGGAATTCTGAAAAGTTCTCGGTCCAACAAAGAAGCCACTCCCACCCCTTGGTGTTTGGTCATGTGATTAGATTCTGGGAAGTGGGGTTAACCGAGAACTTTTCAACACATGTTTGTATCAGTGTACTGAGGCAGCAAATGTTCTTTAAGGCTAATATTATTAAAGAAAGCATATTTTGTGTTGATTACTTTAATGATCGACTTTTCCAAATTACGAATGAACCTTCTCAGACAAGGAGGAAATTCTATCAGAAATTGTTCGAAGTTCATTTCGGAAGAAAAGTACAAGAAATATGGTCCAAGCTTTCGACTGTCTTAAGTCATCATCAGGGTAGGTAGAGACAATCTTTGGGTTTCGTAGAACGAGGGAATGTTGTGACGCAGGTAAACAGCGTTTTTAAGGATCGACTTTTCCAAATTCCGAATAATCCTTCTCAGAAAAGAAGACTTTTATATATATATATATATATATATATATATATATATATATATATATATATATATATTATTATTATTATTATTATTACTATAATCGTTCTTTTATTATTTTAGTGGATGCATGTTTTTCAGGTGACACCCATTTTATTTTCTTAAAAAGTGAAATTAGTATCAAGCGGTCTAGATCGAGAAGTCCTACTAACGAATAATGTAACTCGCAATACTACTAATCAATCTAGGCTGTTTAAGAAAATAAAAAAAAACGGATATCAGCTCATACCTGTACTCACTACAATAACAAAGCAGGAATGTCAACTCAAACACTGTACCCACTAAAATAAGTAATAACGTCAAACTAATATATATATATATATATATATATATATATATATATATATATATATATATATATATATATATATATATTTGTTGGATTTTATATCCGAGAACTGGTAAAATAGTTACGTCTCTTTTTTTATTACAACAGATTTAATAGAAGAAGCATACAAAGTAAATGAATAGAAAAGTCTCTGGATTGTAAATCTAGTTAGTATATATTTTTTTCAAACATAGCATCACAGAAGTTTCTTGGTTGCTTTCTTAGCCACATACAATTTTCTACCTTTACTTGATCACTGGAGAATTGCCTTCCTCTGAGTATCTACTATAAGTTGGGTTACTTGAAAATTTTCATAGTGTTTTGCGACAGGATTTCTGTCTGCTGTAATGAGAACAACATCCTATTTAGCCTTATCCTCATTCACAACAGCGGTTTCGCCTTCGTCGCTATGATTGCTATTAACTCTACTGGCTTATCTCCTTAATGTGCTTATATCAACAGCAGTTTTTCCATCAACATTCTCTAACCTCTGAGGAAAATTTCATTAGAAACAAAGATAACAGTGCTTATTATATTCGATCTTTGCCTAGAAATCCTTGAGTTTTCCCCTTATTTTCTCGCCTAATAATAACTTATCAATACATGCTAATGTACTCAGTGTAAGGTGTCTCTGTCAACGTGTAAAAGCTTATTCCATTTCCCATGTAAGAAGTGTGAAAAATAGAAATGACGATCAGGAAGGAAACCGCCGACTATATAGAAATCTCGAGTAGAAGAATCTATTTTGCGGATTGGCTAAGTTGATTTGAGGCAAATGTAGTAAGAATGAAGTTTTATTCGAAGTCATGCTGCGAACATCATGGCGGAAAATGATTGTAGTTGAAGTAATATTCAGCTTATTCTGAATAATTGAACAGTAACGAGAAAATACTTCTATAAAAGAAATAACATGAATGTAAACACTGAATTTTGATATACTTCTAAAATAAAATTGCCCTTGTAGTAAGGATAAAATAATATTTCATTGAATTTTATTATTTTTTTTGATTGATTGATTCGTTTTCTACGGTTTATCAACCCTTCTGCAGGTTATTTAAAACCAGAAAATATTTTTAGATTGTAAGAAGTTTTTAACTTATTTTTTTGAGATAATAATGATTTAGTTATAAAAGTTTTACTAATTAACACATAACTAGAAGAGGTGCATTCGTACCTTTCTCAAGGATATTTGCTCGTAAATGAATATAACGAACCCAACTGAAACTGGAACTCGGTTCTCCGGTTAACAATTCCGAGCCATTATCCATTACACCACTCACACACCCAAGCTTGCATCATTAGGTATTTTCAAGTGGCTAACCATCTAGGTAATGACCAGGTTTGGCGTTGCTTATCTTTCGTGACCTTACAGGAACCGGTATTTCAATGTGATATGGCCATAAGCGTCAGTGAAAATAAAAGTACATTTTTATGGCTGTAGCCCTCGCCGAAAAGATATATGTGAAGGAAACTTCTTATAGAAAGGGAAAAGGTGTAAGGATACTTTTTTCTATATGCCAAGTCATTTTAGGATGTTGGTGATCCACAATTTCGTCTCCTTTGTAGCTCTCAATAAATTTTGTCTTTTTATTATCTCTCCTAAATCTTGTTCTTCCATCCATTTACATGAACTCATTAGGTAGGTTATGGGCTGTTTACCTTCAATCAGTCCTGTGAGTATCAAATTTTCCAAGCCCTCTTTCCTTATGTGCCCTAGAAATTTCAACTCTCTCTTCCTGATATTAAGTATAAGTGTCCTTTTTGTTTCCATTTTCTCTAGAACTTCGATGTTGCTCACATGTTCGCTCCAAGGTATTCTCAGCATCTTTCTAGAGAATTATATTCCTGTTGCTTCAAGTCTCCTCTTCATCTGTGAGGTGATTGTTCAGCATTCACTGCCATATAGGAAAATTGATATTACGTAACATTTCTATACTCTTTTCTTTGTTTCTAACAATTTTTTTCTGTTTCTTAATACATTGCTTAGCTTTAGGAAGTCAACTTTCGATATCCCAATGAGCTTTCGGATTTCAGTGTCACACTTTCCGTCCACTGTTAAAACACTTCCCAGATATTGAAATTATTGCATCTGTTTGATTTTAGTATCTCCAATTTGTAATTTGCACGTTGAGCTGTTTCTTTTGCTAACAACCATGCATTCTGTTTTCTTGCAATTGATGCTTAATCTTTTCTTCTCGCGTTCTTTCACATTTTGTAGGAGTTCTTGTGGTTTCCTTTCTGTGTCTGCAATCAACACTGTGTCATCTGCAGATCATATGTTGTTACAATTGTAACCACTAATAATAAATCCTGGTAGGACTTCTAATTCTCTCAGAATCGTCCACACTGTATAGTAGGTACCACAAAAAGCAACACCTAAGGTTTAAGATGTATTTTAAAAATGAAAAATATTTCTTGAAGTTTTATTTAGTTTTAATTCCAAGCTATGATGACGATTGACGTTTGTTAGACATTTTCATGACGGTCGTCGTCGAGTATTGAATCCAGAGGTTGGCAGTGAATATTTCGGAGACAGTAGGAAAGCGTACTTTAGGTTCGCAGTGGATATCACAGCAGAGTGTAGTTCATCCTTCTCCTGGTCGCCTTTGGTCCTTCCGGTAGGTGGAAACAAGATGGCCGCCTTTATACACGACGAATACAGTGTTGGGCGGCTTCTGATTGGTCAACCTTCCATTGGTCGACTATAAAGGGAAATAAGTCATTCTGACTCGCTCACTAGTTATACGTATTATATACCCAAAAAACCGTAACAGCCCCCCTTATTTTGGGTATATATGGAATCTGCATAATTAGTTATATAGACGAGTCTATTTCAGGAATTACAGTACACCGATAAGTTAAGCGTTTTTAGTGAAACTTTTTGTAACCTTTGTTTGATTTTCTGTTTTTGCCTTTGTTTAATTCTCCTTATTCTCTTTAATTTTCTTTTCTTTTTTCTTTTTTATTTTTCCCTTTTTTTCTGTCCTTTTTGATTTTTTTCTTGTTTTGTTTGTGCATTTTTTCCTTTCTATCTTTTGAGTTGTTTTTATTTCTTCCTGTTTATTTTTAAGTTTTTACCTATGTGAGGAAAAAAAAAAAGTAGGGACAAAAGCAGAAGTATTCGGCGTGGTGGGCCGCTAAAACCCATCATGGCCGACAATAACAACGAGGAAGGTAATACGCCACCTTCCCAACCGGTATCACCTGCCAAGACGGCCTGGGGTCAAAACAGGCCGCAGCAAAAAGATGCAGCCTTTTACGGGGAGCAAAGGGCAAAATTTGAACAAACGTTCAAGGAAAATCAATTCTTGACAATCCAAGAAGCGTTGGATGCTGTCGACACAAGAACGATTTCGCTCCTGACTTCGGACGTAAAAACCCGAAAGTTAATTGGTGTCGGCAGAGAAGGGATGGAGGAGGCCTTAAAGGCGCTAAAGATCGTTCCAAAAATCCTGGCGCGAAGAACTAATGCGCTCTGGGACTTGCTCTTGGCGACAGAAGAGCAGGCTAAAGCGTTGGCCGGAAGTCTGCTAACAACCAAAAGTCTGCGCTTGCAGACGGAGTATATGGGAACGCGGAGGACCAGAGTTACGATTCATGGCGTCCCGGCGGACATTGGAGAAGATAGAATGGGGGCCTTTTTCGCCAAATATGGCGAAGTAAATGAGGTAAAGGCCCTCGTCAGCAAAAGCGGAATTCAGACGGGAGATATGGAGGTTCAAATAACACTGAACAGAAAGAACTTCCAGGATATTCCCAACACCCTGGTATGCAGAAAGAGGAGGATGCTGGTCGTGGTGGAGGGGAGGAAGCCGTGCTGTTGGGCATGCGGTGCATTGGGACACATGTCCAAAGATTGCCCTGGCAAAAAGGGGAATCCAACTCCCCCT